TCTTTGGCAAGGAATGAAACTAACATTCATGCAGACTGATGCTATCCAGTGGATCATGGACACCTCACCAAGACAATCTCCATGGAGTCCCGAGCGTATTGTGTGGGAGCTTTTAGCAATTTGGTTTGGAGCCTGCTACTCTCTCGTAGTTGTAAGTCTCTTGCTACCGGCACTCTCTAAGAGATGCAGAGGTTAACACCGCTTCATTATCAGACATCTACGTTTGCAATCCAGGACCTTGGCCGCCACCCCGAATATGTCAAATACCTCCGGGCCGAACTTGAAAGTCAATATGATGAGTTTGAGTTAACTGGGAAAGGACTACCTCTCCTTGACAGTTTCCTGAAAGAATCAGCCCGACAGCATCCAGTTGAATCAAGTACGTTGGCATCAATCACATTTCTAACTATATAAGAGCTACTTGCTCGATTTCCTACTCAATTAGTGTGACTAACAGACCAAGTGAGTACTCGCCGCCAAGCGATTCAGCCATTCAAGTTTTCGGACGGCATTACGCTCGACGTGGGAGACTGGGCCTGCACTCCTGTCCACGCCATTAACCACGATCCCAACAAGTACCCAGACCCTTTTACATTCAATGGCTTCCGATTCGCCAGTCCCGAGGTCTTAGAAAAAGCAACACTTATGAAAGATTCGACATCTTCCCAGGCCAAACCGTCCGAGCTCACTGAAGTGAGCAGTGAATGGCAGTTTTGGGGTACTGGTCGGATGGCCTGGTATGTTTGAGACTCACTCTAGAAATCCATTGGCAGAGCATGCTGATAAAATTGAAGCCCTGGTAGATATTATGCAACAATGGCTCTCAAGGTACTCCTTGCACAAGTCATCTCCAACTACGACATCTCACTCCCTGAGCCGGATGCAAAAGCACGGTATACATGGCGGTCTACATTTCTGCCACGAAACAGCTTCAAGATTACTTTCACACCTCGCTCATGAATACGTAAAATGGCAGGGACGCCGACAAACTTTTTCTAGTTACTACTGTTCGACTAGATGCACGTTCGTTTTCATTAATGGCCACTCCTATGGCCACTAACAGTAGAATAATGCAGTTTTTGCAGTTTATAGCGTTATAAGCTTTTGTAAAACAAAATTGATGGATTCGATATATTGTCTACATCATAGTCGGCGAAATTCTTTATTCAGCGCTCTTGCGTCGTGAATGATTCTCAGTCCATAGTCCAAAAGTCTTCAGGTCATATCCATTCCCTTTCTCTAGTGCACTTCGATACGCAGTTCTTCCTTTGACTTTCACATGCCAGCCCGCGAGTTTCGGAAACCTGCTCGGTTCAAAGTACTCTCGTTGAGAAGCCATATCCATGCCCCAGCAGATATTGAAGTCGGCCAGTCCGAATTTCCTCCCCGAAAACCACGGCTTCTCCTCTCCGAGCGCATTTTCCAAGAGTTGGAATATCGGCTCTAAGTCGTTGATTCTGGACGATATCAAGGGGGATAGCAGTAACCGAGAAAGTGCCGATATACCGAAGGGGAGAAGCGAGATGATCGTCTCGAGAGCAACGGGCATGTCCATCTTAGGAACGAAGGTCATCATAGCGAATCCCTGGAAAAATACATCACGGTTCTTGTCGTCTTCGTTCGCGGGGTCCCAAAGACCGTTTCCATATTCATCACTCAAGAAGCGCAGAATTAACTGCGCCTCGGTAAGAACGCCAGTAATGATTTGAAAAGTAGGCAGATCCTCGCCCTCAACAGTTGATTCCAGCGTGAGAATTGGTGACTTTCCGATTGGGAAAATATCACTCAATTCCGACGGTGCAAATCCGCGCTGTCGTCGATAGTTCTTCAGATTGTATATAATTCCATTTGTCTCTTTCAGTTCTTCAAGTGCCCAAAGACATCTGAAAGCAGCAGAATGATCCAAATGGTGGAGTGTTGGAATAAATCTCTGACCCATTGGGTAATATGATCGTAGTAGAGCTGGGTGGTAATTAAGCTTTGCTTGCCCTCAGAGTATTCAACCTCAGGGCTGAGCGGCGAAAGAGAGATATTTATACCGCGCCTGTATTAAGACATTTGGAGCATCGACCTATCGGTATTATCATTGATGCGCTCCTCCAATTTTGCTGGTGGGGTGCTAGGTAAGTACTGGCAGGTAGATACGAGTACCGGTCTGACAACTATATATTCGCCTACCTATTAATTGAGATTAGTTGTATCTAATTGCCGCTTTCTTAAGTAGAGTCTGCGAGGAATGGCGATGCTTTCTAAAGAAAGGGTGTTGCATTTCGATACTACACAACGATGTGTGATTTGTGGTGTGGGTTGTTAGATGCTCGAATAGAGAAAGGTGGTTCGTCTCAAATATCAATGCATGAGTTCCTGTATAGACGGTCCATTTCATAGGAAGGCTGGCACTAGGAGTGAAAAAGCGAAAACAGCATGGGAAGTGTCTCATAGCTATAAACACAGGATCTTGTGTATATCGGGAGATGGCTAGTGATCAACTTTGAGATGCCAAGGTGCACTCACTGCCTAAAAGTTCCCACCTCAAGCGCAAGCGTCGTTATGACCATCTACCCGCAAGCACTCCTGCACTCCTGCAATGTAGGCTGGAGCAAAACAGGTGATGTCCCATCCGTGAGCTCAAATTCACAAAGTCCATCCTCACCACACTGGCCCTGCAAATTCTGGCCCGATTGAAAGATGACACTGCCAGTCATGCGTTTGTACGGCTGTCCACCATAGATGCTACCGTTGAGCGCCAACTCGAACGATACGCTGAAGTAATGGTCGCCGGGGCCCGCGAGATCCTCGTGGAGCTCATTGAGGGTGATGCTCCAGAGGGCTTGCGAGAATTGGCCTGGAGACGTGGCCGCCGTGACGCAGCTGTTGGAGCTGTGGCCATAGGGGGTAAACTCATCCGTCTTCCAGTGCAGCTCGCATCGCGCCGTGCTGTTCGGAAACACCACGTAGCCCCCGCCTGACGCGTGCGGCGCCGGGGTCGCGGCAATTAGTTTCGGGTTCGCGATTGTTAGCACGAGTCCGCTAGAATTGACGTCGTACGGACTTGTGTAAGGGTTATACTCGTAGAGTGAGCTGACCTGCCATGGCTCGAGCGGATACCATGGCGGCAGAGGTGGGAGTGGTAGATTGGCCGCCGATGTAATGAAGGCTCCGGACGAGGTCGCGGTGAGCGCCGCGACGAATTGGATGAGTCTCATTTTATTATGTGCACAACAAGAGGGTGTGACGAATGTACAGATCAATGGGTTTGATAGGCGACGGATTAATTTACATTGTTTTTACTGAAGCCTGATGCTTTACTTACCTTAAGTACCTACATATGGTTGAAACGGCCTTTCAAAATTCACCCGGCTAATAAGCTGTGAGTCGTAGGCTTACGATAATGTGCGCGTGAATGTCGTATTAGATTTCTAAGCCATTCCTATTGTAGAGTTTTGGTTATTAATGCATATTAATATTGACTTTATACATGCTAATATTGAACATCTAGACCTCAGACCCTGTACAGGCTTCAGTCCAACACGAGATGTTAGACAAACCAGACAGCATTTGCGGATCCGCGGCCATGCAACGTTGATTCTTGGAGTTGCTGGCGCATCAGCTCAGCGCTGGAACGAATCCCCATACCAGAGCCCAGTTCTCCCCTCTACCCCAACTTACCCCTGGCAGTGAAGGAAACTTCGTATTTTCTGGGGATAAACTGTCGGGCTTCCGAATTCTCTACCCACCTAAGCCCGGTCTCGGCACCTCCATAATGTGGCCGACTTCGAGACCACGATATCCACTCAAACACAACTGCAAAAATTGTGCACCTATTTGAATTGCAAGGCAGATCGTCTATGTCATCCACCATATTCATTTAAACAAAGATCCACTGCCTGCACGTCGTACTACAGTTTCAACTACTGGTAGCAGAGGGATGGTAATTCTTATTGCACAAGAAAGCATAACTGTACAAGCAGAATATGTAAGCCGGCACGGCCCGTGCCATGCACCCCGGTCGCCTGTTATACGGTACATACCGTAATACATGGCAGCTATAGGTATGATCCTGGATGGTCGTGATCAGTTGCTAACCCTTTTTAGCTAGAAAGTTCCTTGGGGCATTCTATCTATGGACGACGATTATAGCGTGTATATAGTCAAAAGAGACAGTAAGAAGGGTACTTCATATCTCAGTACTCTTGGATAGTCTACTTCCAAGCGAGAGAGATATCGTGCCTAACCATACCCGCTACTGCTATTTCAGATACTTAGGTAGCTAATATACAAGCATTTCAAGACTGCTCGAAGCATTGGAAACATCTGACATAGATATCATGTCACAGAGAATAAGCTATAATATAGGATGAAAGTTATTTCTAAAACACCTACTCCGATTCCAAGACTGAACGGCCATCGGCCTTTTAGATGATGCTCTTGTTTATACGTAGAGCAAAAAGAGGTAGTCATTTATTAACTGCACCTATTCCGCTATATCCCAATAATTATATTGAGGTCGACCCCAGAAATCCAAACCCTCCGCCAGAACTCTGTTTGTACTTCGCTTAGGACCTGTCGGGGTCTGATTGGCGCTCCGGCAAGGCCACCAGACCAGCTATAAGCCTCACGTACCAAGTACCGTGCCACCCATATTTAGCCCGATGTTACAATACACGTTATACTTCCGCACGAAATGCAACCTTCAGTCAGCCTTGCACGAACTTTTTGGTCAATACCAGCCAATGATGGATGTAACCTTACGTAATCTTCCTACTACAGAGGCTGGGCCCTGGGTGGTGCACAGACAACCTCCTCAGTGGCTATGACAACACTACTTGCACCATTTACTAGCATGTTGACACATATGAATCATCTAAACCCCTAGAGGTGCTTCTTTCCCTTTATCAAGCCTGGCATCAATGACCTGACTAGCGTTGGTTAGAAGTACCGCGCAAGCTCTGTCAGATGCACTTAACGAACCTACAAAGCAAAAAAGAAAAGAAAAAATATGTCCATGGTGAGGTTCGAACTCACGACTTTCGCATAACTAGCATATTTCTTGCACGAATGAAAGAGATATAAGAACGACATGGTGACCACTCCATCACACGGACCGGTTGTTGAACTCTGGCGTCTTTTAAAGACTTATAGGGGGGAGGTATCGTAATAGACGCCACTAACCTTAGATATGTATTGCGGTAGTGCTTGCTTGCTATGTGGCTTAGGGTGGCACAGCCACTATGATAGCGACGTGAACTGTTAAAATAGAGATACTACTACGATGGCCGACTTGACATCAGCGGGTTGCGTGAGGGAGTTCGATCTCTTCGAAAATCACTCGAATCGTGCAGTTGGCTGGCCTTCGCGCCGGTATCTGGGAGGAAGAGAAAATCTGCTATATTAGGCCACTAAAAGCCACCCTCTTATGCGAAACATATCGCATCATACGCAAGTCGAGTATCCACCTAGACAGGGTGAAAAAGGTAAGCGATGCTACACATGGCATGAGACTTCGATGTGCGGTAGGTACATGCAAGAGTACCCTTAACATATATCTTAAAGACGGGACCATGAATGCTTCGAAACACGAAGTTCAAGAATTTATTATATTATGTCATAAGAACTGGACTTCCTCGGAGATATAAGACTACGACTCGATCACGAGCAGATGACTCATTGGGGGCCCTATATATATCTTCGAGCGAATGTCGATACGTCAGTTGTAGTTTGTCTATCACGCTACGGTCGTAAGAGAATACGGCTGTATAAAAAGAATTTGCCATTCACCAACCCCTATCTCCGCCCATACCCCAGCCCATTGGTGCCCAGAGTGGATTGAACGGACCCGGGGCGGGTGTGGTGGTGTTCATACCAGACCAAGGGTCCGTTTGCGTCAGGTCGGAGTTGTCATACGTCAAAAGCGTTCGCATCAGCACGTCGTCGGGCGTTACCACGGGGGCTGGACCGACAGCCTGCTCTTCTCTAACCGATTGGTTCGACTCAAGATCTCGTTTGGCTTCCGCGATTCGAGCCAGCGTCTTGCGCGTTTCTGACACAACCCTTGGAGTCGTCAATGGCCTACCAAGTTGTCTCAAAGCAGCTTCGCGAACCTCCCAAGTTTCCAAAACCATGCCAGAGAACATTTTGAAAAGGGGATTCTCGTCGCTGACCCACGCAGACTCCGTGAACCGGGCGGCGTGATTCTCACTCATGAGTTCCCAAGCCCGGTCGGCTTGTTCATGCAGAGGCTGCTTTTTCAAGTATTGGACAAGGTAGAGGTAAGCGGGTAGCGGGAAATAGAACTTTGCTAGCCAAGTATATCCCTTGGTGAGATGCGAGGTCATGACCTTGGTATCGCAGTCGAGTATTCTGAATGCATAAAACGTGGCTGCGCTGCGCTGCGCTTCTGCTTGATCCGGGGAAGCGCTGGAATACTTTGTGTAATATTCGACGAGTTGATATTTCGCTATAAACCCTCGTGCTGTCCAGATTGTCATGTACTGTAATGGATTCTCGGGATCGCAGAATTTGAGATACTTGTCTTCAATCATCCTTTCCAAGTCGATAAGTTCATCCAGCGTTGAAGAGGAGGCGTGCTGACGATCTTTGGCAAGAGGCTTCAAAGCTGGACAAGTAAGATCTAGAAAGAACGTAGTATGACGTAGAAACTGCGCTATTTCGCTACGTACCACGGGGAAGATAGCCTCTGTTGGGCGCATTTGTGCTGCTGGCGGCTCTTTTATGTCTGCTCGAAGCTCGGAATCGCCCATATTCAGAGGCATCTTACAGTCCCAGTTGGGTCCTAGTATCGTTGACTTGAAGTCGGCCATTTCGGCAATACGAGCGTCAAAGAGGACAAGCGACCACCAAAGTCTGCGACGCATCTCGGCTTCATGGGGGTTGAGCGTCGTATTAGCTGCCTCACCGTGAATTCCCATACGTTGCCCGATGCGTATTGCCGCCCCCAGCATAGAAGACAATGCCCGGGGATCGACGCTCTGACCGGCAGACACCTATACACGTCAGTCGTTATACATTTAGATTTCAGACAGGACATACTAGATACAAGTGCAAGGCAGTCAGGCAGTCACGATCGTTGGTCCGCATATATCCGCAGTTCAATAGGGCTTCTTGACATGCCAGATGATTTCTCGTGAGCAAGTCTTTCTTAGAAGCATTGAACATAGTCTGACAATCCTCGTCCGAAAGACTCAAGACGGAAATGCAGTATATACTAAACATCAAGGCCTCGAGTGGGGACTCAATGTCATTCAACCTACTGGCAGCGTCGATAATCCGGCCTTGGAGGGTCGAGTTATGCGTGACTTTGAGCAGAGGGTCGACATTATCCAGATAAATTTGCCACAACCTGATGATGTGAATCGGCTCCGGATGAAGTCTTGACAAGTCGACGACCGATTTACGTAGGCCGAGTATAAGGTGATCACTATTATTGAACAAAACGTCCCATGCTTTCTTGACTGTAGATTCTCGAACTTGATCGTACGAGGAGTCACTTTCATCATCGCGGTCCTCGGCAGCCTGTTTCGATCTGGTCAATTGAGTCTCTCAAAACTTACTGAAACTATACCTGCTTATATAAAGCCTTCCAGATATCCCTGGAAACGTCAGCACCAGTTCGGCATCTCCATCAGCAGTGTAAATACTTGGGCCAATGTGATTCGTTACGCTGAGTGGTGGCAGAAGAAGCCGAGGCTTGAGTTATGGGAGCGTGTGGCTGTTCTCCGTCCTCATCAGATGTATCTCCACCTTGCACCCTGAGCGATCCTTCTATGACCTGGGCTGAGTGAAGTGGCTCGAATTCGATCTTGTGCTCCTGGAGAAGGCTCTCATACTTGCGTAGGCGATCGAGGAGTGCTCTCTCCGGAAATCTGCGCCTCCGTGGAGCTAGTGCCGCCGGAATACAGGATTTTCCCAGCTTGGTACAGTTCCCGCAAGGGGACCTGCGATCGCACTTGACCTTGCGCTGCTGGCACAATGAGCATGCTAGCACTCGCTGTAGCTTTCTAGTAGGTTCAGTCGCCTCAAGGGGCGCTGATGAGCATGGTCCTGATGAATCCGCCACTTGGTCAGATCGCCTCAATGGCATAGCGTTTAAGTCAAAAAAGTATTTCGCGATGTAACAAAACAGAGCAATGCCTATTATAATCGTGTCCTGTTACATGCTCGAGGCTGGCATTGGGAGAGCATGCTTACTTACAGCCTGGGAGCTAGACTAGGAGATGACAGGGAGCTCTCGGATTTTTTGTAATGTCCGCCTGTGGGTCCATGTTCCAGGGGTATTTGCCCCCTTTTCTATGTGTATGAACCACTCGAAGACTCGATCAGGCCGATTCAATCAGCTCAAGCTTCAACGATGCGTTGTAGAACAACAACAAAATTGCGTTGATGCGTCTCTCATGTAGTGTTTCTGTGTATGGCACATTATTTCTTCGTTGGCCGCATTGAGCTATTGACTCTTGTGGAGACGTCGTAGAACTTTATCATGGCATTCTACAGACTCCGAAGCATCAGCCTCAAGGCTGATGACATTGTCCCACATGGATATCATACCTCGAATTGATATGGAACCTACTAGATAGTCGGCGCCATTCTCAGATTATTTCATTCTCGGGCATTTATAAGGAAGCACCTAGAGGATTTACAATTGGGCGTTCTCAATTCTAACAGCTACACTGGGTTATTTAGCTAACAGGTTTCCCTTTCCACCGTATCATAGTAGGCAGCTCTCCACTCTAACACAAATCTACGCCTTGCCAGCCGCGTAGAAGTCCTGGAGTGCCTCAATGACTCGAGCCTTCATGGTCTGCTCGCCAGCACGAACCCAGACACGTGGGTCATACTTCTTCTTGTTGGGCTTGCTGGCACCCTCGGGGTTGCCAACCTGGGTCTTCAGGTAGTCGATGTTCTTCAGAATGTAGTCGCGGTGGCCGACTAGGTAGGCCCACTGCAAGTCGGTATCAAGGTTGACCTTGACGACACCGTACGAGATGGCCTTCTTGAACTCGTCCTTGCTCGAACCAGAACCACCGTGAAAGACGAAGAAGACAGGCTTAGAGTCCTTAGGCTGGTTCAGCTTCTCGGCGATAAATTCTTGGTGCTTGCCCAGGATTTCGGGTCGGAGCTTCACGTTTCCTGGCTGGTAGACACCGTGGACGTTACCGAAACCGGCAGCGATGCTGAACATCTTTGAAATAGGGCTCAGAGCCTGGTAGATGGCCCAGATATCCTCGGGTTGGGTGTAGAGAGAGTTGTTATCAACGTCCTCGTTGTTGACGCCATCCTCCTCACCACCAGTGATACCGACTTCCATCTCGAGCCATAGATTGACTGCGGCGGATCGCTTCAGGTACTTGGCGGTAGTATCAATATTGGACTGCAGATCCTCCTCGGATCTTGGAATCAGGTATCAGTTAATTGCTCTCCTTCTTTGGTTGACAATTGTCAATTGGTTCCCGGCATATGCAACCCACAACAACAAGAGATTGCTGCTCTTGGCTATGCACAGAAGAAGAAGAAAACTGTTTCGGAGATTATACTCACAAATCAATCATGTGACTGCTGAACAGCGGGGTGCCATGCTCCTTAAAATGAGCCTCTATGCCACGTTAGTTTTCCGGTCATGTTGGATACTAGGAAAGGAGGAAGACGCAATGTAGTCACTAACCATCAGCGTCGAGCATGCCATCTAGCCAGGGAAGCAGCTTCTTAGCACAGTGGTCTGAATGCAGAATTACAGGGACTCCGTAAAGTGGCGCGATGGAGCGGATGAAGTGAGCGGCAGCTGGAGGGCGAAGGGTTTCTATGTTAGCCGAGAGAATATCAAGATGTGGAATTGGCTTTAGTTACCAATGGCACCGGCAACAGAAGCCTCCTGGTTGGAGTTGGAGATGGCTTTGCCGGCGAAGAAAGCGGCGCCGCCATTGGATGTCTGGATTATGATAGGAGCCTTGGACTCGCGGGCAGCCTCCAGAGTAGCGATGACGGTGGAAGAAGAGGTGACGTTAACGGCGGGCAGGGCGAAACCGGTCTGCTTTGCGTAGTCGAGTAGCTGTAGACGTGAAGTAGCGTGTCAGCGGTATGTTCAGTGTCT